TAGAAATCGGCTTGGACCCTCCAATAAGGGGGCTTGACCCACTGGTGTCTGAAGTGTGCGGAAGGCCACTCGAGCGTGTGCCTATTGTTCGCATATATGGGCCTTGGGGACGGGGTGGTCCCCACTGCTGTCTGCACTTGCACGGGCTGTTCCCCTATTTCTATGTACCGGCACCCCCAGAAGCTTACGGCGACGGGGCCGCCGCATTTTTGCGCTCATTTGCCCGCCGTCTGGTGTTGGAGGCAGATCGCCTAATGGCCTCTAAGGCTCGTCGGCCCCCGCAGGGGTCTTTATCAAGGGCCAGCCGAGGGAAGATACAAGAGGGCCCTGGTGGCTTCCCCCTGAGGCGGGATGTGGGGGCCCAAGGAACATCTGGAAGCCTCAAGGGGGTCCCCCTTGTGCAGAAAATAGAGGTTGTGAGGCGGTTGCCGTTCTACGGATACCACAGAGACTTTCATATTTTCTTGAAGATATCGCTAACGGTACCCGAGATGGTCGGTCCCCTGGCTGGCCTTCTGCTAAAGGGGGTCGTGACAGGCTCTCCCTTGCAGCCCTTTGAAGTACATCTCAGTTTTCAGGTGAGCAGCAGCCTGTTTGTTTTGTCCTACGGTTTGCTCCCGTTTCGCCCTCGATAGTTGTCGTTTGTTTTGTTTCCTCTCGTGTTTCCGTTCGCTCCATCTGAACCTTCGCCTGCAGGGGCGCTTGTTGTGCCATCTGTGCCGTTCCCGTGCGGTTTCTGTGTAGCAGAGAGTGACACTCCGGGAGGCACAGAAATCTGCAGGGCCATCCCTGTGCGCCTTGTCCCTCGTCACGTGCTCTGAGCAGATGTCGTGTGTGCGTTCGGGCCATACCAGGATATTCTGGTGCAAAGGCCTCTGATGGGGCTTGACAGTCCCCTTGGATCGTCTGCTGCTCCTTATGCGTTCGTGCCTCCCTGTTGCCCTGGCTGCCGTGTCTGCAGACTCAAGTTATGGCGGACCTCCACCTGAAAGGCATGGCGCCCGTCTTTGTTCACAAGCCCTTCTTCAGGCTCCCTGTGGTACTTCACCCTCTGGCTGCAGCAGGCATCCATGGAAGCCCCCAAGGGGGACATCTCACTCCAGTAAGCACATATGAGAACTTTCAAGGGGGAGTGCAGCGTGTCCCTTGCACCGCCGCAAGCATACAGAGAAGGCCTCAGATGGACCCCCAGGGGAATTTCCTTCGTGCGCAGAAGCTACAGGCGTCCTTTGTACAGGGGTATCAGGGGGCTCACTCCGGGGGCGTTTAGCTGTCTTTTAGCCGAGAGGATGCGCACGTCGCCCGAGTGCGTTTGTGGGATGCCGCAGGACAGGCCATCAGGNGTCTTTTAGCCGAGAGGATGCGCACGTCGCCCGAGTGCGTTTGTGGGATGCCGCAGGACAGGCCATCAGGGGCCCTGAGGGACGATAGTTGGAAGGAGCTGAGCCCAGATTTTGAAATGTTAGGGGTAGCGGCCCCCAGAACCTTTGCTGCGCTTGGGTGGGCGAGGCTGCTGGAGCAGATGCACCAACTGCATCGAAAGAGTTCAGCTACAGAAGTAAGGGCGATGCCTGGCCCTGCAGCAGAAACAGCAGCAGATGAATCAACCAACAGCAGCAGTAGCAACAGCACATCCGCTTCACGGTTATGTGAACTTATAATGAAAGCCACTCCACCAAGGGGCCCGCGGGGGCTTCGGTTGCTGAGTGCCCCCCGGCGTAGCAAATGTGTATTAGAGGCCGACGCAAGGGTGGAGCAGGTCCTGAATCCGATTGCAGCTGCGGAGATGGCAGAAGCAGATGCGGCAGCAACAACAGCAACGCGAAGAAAGCAGGAGCGACATGGGGTCCAGGAAGGGATTTCGTCGACGCAGACCAAGCAGCAGCAGCAATCTTCATCACAGAACCCACTCAGCAACATCAGCAGCGTTAACAGCAGCATGAATATCAGCGACAGGAGCAGCAGCAACAGCGGCAAAGCATTTTCTGCTCGGCTTGTTGGCAGCGTCGCGGAATACTGGAGAGAAGAGGCGGAAAGAGCAGCATCCCTTGGGTTTCCACCCCCTTCAGCTTCGGGTTGGGGGCCCCAGGGGGGCCTGCGCGATCCCAATGGGGCAGTCGCTCCTGAATTATGGAGGAATGCCCTTCACGACACTCTGAAGCGCATAGACAAGTGGAGACAGCAGCAGCAGCAGCAGGAACGACATCCAGTGCAGCGGTTGCCCGTGAAACCGAGCGTTGGCAATGCGCAAGTGCCCCACCCGAAGAAACAGCAGCAGCCGCGGCAGCATCAACAGCAGCAGTGTAATGTAGAAGTGATTCCTTCCTCTTTATCTTCAGGCTGGGACGCATCGCAACTGTCTGTGGCATCTGATCCCGAGTCAGAGGGTGGCGTGTACACCCCGGGGTCTCCAGCTGTATCCGCCGCCCCGCCTGAATTCTTGGATGCTCCCCTTCAGGTCTCAGGGTCCAAGCCGCATGAGCCGTCGATGTTGCCACAGGGTCGCCAGGGTCACTGCCTGGGGCTATGCAGCAGCCAGGCCCCCGAAGGTGCCCCACGCCTTCTAAGCCAGGGGAGGCCGCCTTCACAAAAGGCTTCCGTTGGGCTACAGCCCGACGCGAAGGCCTCACTTCCTACCCCTGAAGATCTGCTTGACCTTGCAGTAAGCAGCACAAGCATCAGCACCCGCGCCAGCAGCAGCTGCAATGCCTTACGTTTTCTTACCTTCTGTTTGTTTTCAGGACCTAGAGGACGAGGCGTTCGCAGCGCTGTTGGTCTCCCAGGCAGCCGAGGGGCCTCCCGCACAAGCAGGTCCGCCCGAACCGTTGGGTAGCCCCCAGAGAACCTCCGAACCGGTTCCTGCAGACTTGCAGGATGCGTCGGGAGGTAGCAGCGCTGACTGCAGCAGCCTAAGCGACATCAGTTCGCACATGCGTTCGTCCCGCCCCCAAAGGGCCCCCCAATCCCCACAAAGAGCACCGGAACAGGGTTGCACGACAGCAGTGCTGTGGAACAGCAACAGCTGTGGACAGTGCGTTGCTGACGGCAGAAGGAAAAACAAGGAGGGCAACAGCGGATGCA